GCGTTGTTACAGATGATATGCCTGTGAGTTATTTCCCTCCTGTTTTCCTGTGCTTATTGCTGTAGCCAAATACACAGTGCCTAATTCTGTCTCAGTTTAGCCCAGATGTCGTCCTGGAGAGGCCAGGTAACTTGGTGCTTGAGGTAGCCACAGTTGGGGCGTTATTTATTTAATCCACTCAGGTCTTATTTCTTGAACCTTCTGTCCAGTGCTTACTCAGAGTTGTGTTCTTTATTTTCAGTTTCCTGAGAAATCACACCCTTCTCTCTCCTTAAACCCCGTGTATCAACTGCTCCCACTTCTAACACGCCAGTGGAGTCATATGATCCAAGACCCAGCTGTATTGTCCTTCATGTTCTTTTATCTTGCCTGAGGCTTTAGTGCAAAAATGACTTACGTGCTCTTGATTTTTACACTCTTCTCAACTTGTCTTCAGGTTTTGTTTTTTTAAAGGAATATATAGCAATCTGTTACATGTTATAACCAGAATTTCTCTGCTAGCCTGACTTTTCAGGAAAGTTACTTTTTCATTCTCTTAAACTGAAATCGTTTTTACAAATTAATTTACTACTTAATGAATTTTATTCGTGTTTGGTATGGTTGAGTCAGAAGAGTAAATGGTGAGACTTAAAATCAGACTTAGTCACCTAGATTCTTTCAGGTTTGTAATTTTCTTATAACCATTTCAGTGATCCCTAGTGAGAGGATCTTGCAGTGGCAGAAAGAAGTGAACTTTGGTGTGGGACCAGAGTTCTCACACTGTGATCTTAGGCCAGGCTGCTTCATCTGTCTGACCCCTGGTGTCCCCGCTGGTGAAATGAGAGGGCCTGCTTGTCGGGAGTGTGTCAGCGTCTGTGAAGTGTCTCAGCTGAGTGGTTGGGGTGTAGTGAAGGTCCTCTTCTCTGCAGTTTTACTCATAATTTTGATTTGAAATCTTGTGCTTTTTGCATTTCAGTTTTTTTTTCTTTTTTTTTAAGACTGTGGATATTTCCTCGGAATTCTAGAGGAAGTCATAAATATTCTTGGTTTTTAGGATTTCTCTTGAAATCCCCAGTTACTGAAAAGGTTTTTTTTTCCTCCCCCTCTATATCCCATTGGATCATCTTTTTGGGAATTAGGGTGATAGATTGTTTTTCTTGTGTGTTAGGTATGACTCCTTTGGCTATTTTAATTCTTGAAAGTCTACTTCTGAAATTATTATCTGAAATAAAGACATTTTCTTCTATGACTTCCTTACTCTATTAGTGTAAATGAGCAGAAATTTATAAGGAAAGCGGGTCACAGTGTATAATTTGAATATAATCGCATTGTAATTTGTTCCATGGAATAAAATTTTAGGTCTTTCAACAGGAACGGCTTCCCACTCCAGTATTCTGGCCTGGAGAATTCCATGGACTGTATAGTTCATGGGGTCGCAAAGAGTCAGACATGACTGAGCCACTCAGCACACACACAACTTTGTTTTCATTTTTGTAGCTTATTTTGTGTGTGTGTGTGCTTATTGTTAATAGACATCTTCTATATTATCTGAATTGTCCTTCTAAGCCTCTTGCATTTTATTTTTTCCTGCAGGTTAAATTTTTAAAATTGCGAATATGAGAAAATATAACATAAAATTAAAAGATAATAAGCAACACCTGTGTACTTGCACCAGCTTAAGAAATAAGGTAGTTCCTACCAGTGCTTCTGGACCTTGTATCAGCTTGTATGTGCTGATTTTCTTTTTTTGGTCCGCTGTTTGTAATACTTCCCTACTACTATAGTTATTTTGAAACTAGATATAATTTTTAGTTTTCCATCAGTATAAAACTTTGTGTCTTTAGAAAATACATCAATGACTGCCATTTAGTTCATTAAATGAAAGAAAGTGAAAGTCACTCAGTCGTGTCCGACTCTTTATGACCCCATAGACTGTACAGTCCATGGAATTCTCCAGGCCAGAATACTGGAGTAGGTAGCCTTTCGCTTCTCCAGGGGATCTTCCCAACCCAGGTCTCCTGCATTGCAGGCAGATTCTTCTACCAGCTGAGCCACAAGGAAAGCCCTTACTTAGTTCATTAACTCTTGAGTTAACCTGAGTTTGCCATATCATGCTAATGCATTCATTTCAATCACAGTTTTGCTACTCTAGTTTTTTTTTTTTAGATTTGTAGTGATTTTATAAATCTCAGCACAATAGTACTTTCAGTTAGGTGTCTTCATATCCTTCCACCCTCCCTTTCCTCCCCTCCCCTCTTGTCTCCCTGACCTCTCTTGAGAAAGAAAGAACAGACACCAAGAGACCAAGTCTATACTTCCCTGAGCATACCATGCACCAGAACTCAAGCTTGTTGAAATTCTGTTAGCCCTCCCTGCACATGTGCTGTAAGTTAATTTTGTGCAGTGATTTTCAGACAACTAGAAAAATGGTTTGTAAGTTTAGCTTCAAAAACCACTTAAGCTCAGTTCCTAGATTGTTCAGACTATTATATTGCCTTTGGCAAAATGTGAGCTAAAACATACTGTAAAAGATTTTGAGGATTATGGGAGGTTTTTGTGGTAAGGATAGTACATGTTTTTCATTAGCATCTAATTTTGCTCCATAATTTGTGAATGGTTCCATTTGTAGGGGGAAAGATAAAAAATTCGTTGTAGGTTGTTTTTTTTTTTTTTTCCAGAAAAAAATTAAAATATGACTGGATTTGTAAGCTTCTTTAGAAAGAAAATTGTGTCTGTAGTTTGCAAAGTCCATTTGGTGTTTGCTGTAATCTAGTTACTGTCAGTAAAAACTCACATCTGATACAGACCATTGTTTTTTTGAAAAGTGACAAGACTGAAGGATACATTGGAATAATCACTAGAATCTTTATTTAGTAATCCAATGTCAAGACTTGAGAAGTTTATCATTACTCAGTATATGATGGTTTAGTTGCAGCATACTTCAGCAGCCAATTTCCTAACTTGTAGAGATGGTTTGTCCTTTGCTAAAGGCTGTTTTTCAAATGAGTAGAGATTAAATGGTTGATTTTTTTTCCCCCCAAAAGATGTCAGTTTTAGGGTAAGACCATTTTGATGAACAGAGGCGATGCATTATCCATTATGCCATTGGCCCACTCATCTTTTCCTGTTGAAGCTGTTGAAGTTGGCAGGGTGTAGATAGCATTGTGACATTTTGCAGGTGAAGAATATAATGTTGAGAGCCTGAAGGATTTGAAAATGTGTAGTTCATAGCTAGAGATTTTAGATTTCACATGTTTTTTTTTTTTACCGTAGTTTATGCTGAAATTATAAAGACTTTTATTATTATTTTTTTTAAGACTGGCCATTTATGAGGGAAAAAATAAGAAAACTATGTTTTTGAAGTAAAAATCTTTAATCTTGATTCATATATTATTTTTGCAAGTAAAACTTTTGATGCGCTGCTTGAATGTTCATCTGTTTGTCCGTATCCCCCCTTTCCTCCCAAGTTGGGTACCAGTTGGTCTCATGCTTAGGTTTTTACTTGACACCATAGCAGCATCTAAACTGGAAAAGTGGTTGTTCAGGAATGGAATCTGGAATTGAGGAATGGTTTCAGAGACAGGTGGTTCCTAATTTACAAGTAATTCATACACGTAAACTGCTGTCTCTGAGCCGCTCTTCTGTGTTTTGAGCTTTTGAAGAACCCCAGGGGCTCAAAAGTAGGAGGAGAAATAAGTGAAAAGCAGAAATATTTGGGGTCAGTAAATACAAACTCAAATCCATATTATGACCCACTTGACTAAAATTTTTCCTCACACTGTCTCAGTATTTTTTAATGTTATTTTGCAATACTGTTAGAATCCTACCCATTAGGGGTTTATTTGGTCTACTTAGCTAGCATCCTTGTTGAAAACTGCAAATGTTAAAGTGAATTATTTCAGCCCAGTTGATTTCTTCTTGTCACATACCTGAAGTGAACTCCATTGAGGCAACAGGAACTTTGGGGTGGTAATTTATGAACATACTGGTACTCAGGGGAAAGGGTTATTAATATTAGCAGGATGATTGGAATGTTGCAATGTAAATTTAGGGAATTGCAAGCATCAAGAGTTGAGGAGAGTGCTAACAAAGGAAAACAACCTACTTTAGAATTTTTCCAAATAAAGAGGATCTAGAATTGGTTAAGTTTCTGTGTTGCTTCTGCAGAGTCCCCAGTGCCCATGGCTGGTGTAATATCTTTTTGTCTCAATAGATGGATGTCTTTTGGCTAGCCTGGGAACTTGGCCAATATAAGCAACGTTGTTTCATTTGGAATAATACTGAATTCCACAGTATCAGTTTGAAAACTAGATTTTTAGACCAAACTCATTTGTTGGTTTTCAGCCTGAGCTTGTCTTTGTCTTGCCTGTTACTGTGTGCTCTTAGTTGACAGCAGTGAGCCGGTGCTTTTGCTTTCCCATTAGTCGTGGGATTTGCTGGCCAATCATGAAATAGCAGCGGAAGTAATAAATAGGAATTTAAAGTCCAAGAATTACAGTAAGTAGGGAAGCCAGTCAGAGAGCAAAAGAGAGTCTGTGGGCTTAAGAGGGCAGTGTGAGCAGTGTCTCAACTTACCTGCGACACTGGGAGATTGACATGCGATTGTTCCTATAAAGCAACTTCTTTACCTGTGATAGTACGCCACGGTGAAAAGTGAATTCACATTCAAAGTGATTTGTGATTTGATGTAGATTATAAAATGTAGATATTTTTCTTCTAATAAATTACATAGACTAGTGGAGCACTGACAGTTTATTTCATACCTAGAAATGTGTGAATTTTTTTTGCTGGTAGTCAGATTTTAAAACTTATTCTCCCTGGCAATTACTTTATATTTTATATATAATTAGTTTTCATTAATGAAAATTATTTTCAAGTAAGCTTAAATAAATGTTAGCAAATAAATTTTCAGTCATTTTATCTTTATGTTTTGGGGGTTGTATTTACATTAGATGTTCCTCAATTAGGGGTAATTGTCTTGCATCCTTATCTCTTATCATAATCTGTTTTTCTTCACACAGTGTTGTAGTTTTGCTGCTGGACTCTTCCCTCCCTCCCCCCACCCCATCAGGATGATATGAGACTTGAAAGAAGACGATGCATACAGGTGACTCAAGTTTTGAAATACAGTAAAACTATGGGCTATCTGAGAGAATGTGGGAACTGGTGATATATTTTGAATGGGGGGGAGCTTTCTGATAAACAGCATTAGTGGGGAGAATTATTTAGATCACTGAATGCAAAGATATAGTTGGGGTTTTATTAGACTTGACTTTGGGCATTGGTTTGCTAATCAGTAACTGAGAGTGGTATTAATACAAATACAGCATAGTAATTGCTAGTTCTTGACCTTTTCAAAAGGGGATGATTGGCTAAAGTACTTTGGTGAGATTTGAAGTATTTCTGTTAAAGATAAATAAAATATTCACCTTTATGGGTGAACGCATGTTTCCCTCAGATCCCTTTAGAGCTGAGCTGTAAAGGCTCATGGAGTAGATGTTAGTGGTGTGTCTTACTCCAACTGGTAAATCAAGGATGTCACACCCGTCTGTGTGAGTCCTGAAAAGTGTGGTGGGGGGCTGTGTGTCTCCTTTCCTGCCTCTCGCCGTCCCTCCCTCCCTTCCCCTCTCTCTCCTTCCTTTCTTCCTTGCCTCTCCTCTTACCCTCTTGTCGTTTGTGTTTATGTAGGAGAAGCAGCATACAAGGCAGTTTTGGAAGAATAGTTTTGATTGCTTTGTAATTAATTGAGGTGATCTTATACACGGAAAAATGAAGGCTGTTGTATCTGTGGCTGTGTTCAAACTCTTGAAAATGTAGTGTAGCTAATGGATAAGGTGTTATTAATGTTTAAATTTGAATGTTTTTAAATCAGGCTGATTAGGAGGCATTTTGTTGAACCAAGTGGCTTATATTTGTAGACCTGGACACAGACATTCTTGCTTGATTTATAAACTGAAAATGTGGCCTTTAACTGGAAAAGAAATAACTACATTAATCTTGGGTAGATACTTAATTACATTATTGGTGAAGGTGTAAAAGTTTTTGTGATTGGTTTTTGGTTTTGGTGATCTTTGTTTTTCAAACAGAAAAAAATTACCTTTTTTTGACTTCAGAGTGGAGTTAAAAAAAAATTGTCTCAGGTGTACCATTTTGTATGAAGAAATGTGCTTGAATATATATTAATTATAGATCAAATCATATTTTACGTTCACGAGGAACTCAGAGTCTGATAGTAGTTCTTTTTTGAGTAAAAGGCGATGGAGTGATTATTGCTGTAATCTGGGTCTCAAGGGTGCACGTATGTATTTGCCTGTGTGTACTAGAGGTACACCACGGACGCACGCCGGCTGAGTGCCTGGTAGGGTCAGCGCGATGGGAGGCCGAACGTCAGGGTCATGGAGGAGTGAATAAGAAGGAACTTACAGAGGACATTGTAGAATGTTATGGAAATTGTGTTGTCAGATTTTGTAAGTGTGACGTTTTGGTGCAGGAACAGTTTCTGAGCCCTGTTAGCTCCCGCGTTGCGCCTTGGGCACTGTCCTGCACATTGGCTATACCAGGTAGATGCTTACTTTCACCAGAGTTCAGGAGAGGAACGAAGTGTTCTGGGGATGTCTCAAAAGACTTATCCATGAATATTAATGATTCTGGAGGTTTTCCTTGAAGGAACTTCGAGGTGGCAGAGTTGCTCTTTTATTTCTAGGTTATTGTCACAAGATATGAAAAGTTTCCAAATAGCTCTATTTCTTGAGAGGCTTATGGATGAACTGAAATATCTAAAGAGTAGATCCAGTTTATAAAGATTATCTAGTTCATTTTATGAATTCTGGAACACACAAAATTTACAAATATCAGATTTGTGGTGTAATCTAGTCTCTTAATCAGCCCTGTATTCCTTAAAAATTACCAACATTTATTGGCTGATAAAGGGAAAGACTGAAGAAGGAAGGTTTGACTCTGATGTGTATATTACTGTTGGTGTATTTCCCCTTCAACAGTTTGAAAGTTAATAATTGTTCTTGAATGTAAAATTAACAGCTTTTATAATCATCATTAATTAATACAGTTTGCTCTGATTTTATGATGCACACATTTATTATTCAGCAGACAGGATTTTAACACATAAAAGCTCATAATGAGTTTTTCATTGGGAGTTATTCCTAGAATGTTTTTGCATACTTGGAAGTGAGTGTTGTTTCCCCAGGCATTCATGATCTTGACTTTATATTGGTGAGATATGACGATGCCTTACTCTCTCATACCGCTTCATTTTAGGTGCTTGTTCAGGGACGCTAGAAAGGACGTTGAAGTGTGTTTTGACTGACTGCACTTTTCAAAAGCCAAAGCTTAATAATTGATTTTTACTGAACAGCAAGCTAAAGTTAAACTTTAATATATCTTTAGTACATGTGTTTATAGGTGTTTCTGTACTTGTTTAATTGGAGGGCACTTTTCATATTTTAAAATACAGTTAGGATATATATTAGGTAAGATTGGATTATTTTTTGATTTTTAGAAGAAAAATCATTTATGACCAAACATTCATTTCGCTAACATTTGCTTTGTACCAGGTGCGATAGTAGCGCTCGACTTTAAGGATTCCTGTGCTTGAGAATCAAGGAACACATTTGAGCTGGAAGAGGGAGAAAATATATAAACAAATTATGCAGTGGACATTTATGATAAATTTTAGATCCTTGTCTGTTGAATTCAAGGCACCTAGAGTAAAAATAGAAAGCACTGTCTGGTTAAGGCGTTCGCAGTAATGTCTTCACCTGATACCTACATGTTGTCAAAATCTACTTTTGTGTCCCACTCTTCTCATCTCCAGAATCACATAACTGCCTCCTAGATGTCTCTCCTGAACACACTTGCTCCTCTCTTATTTATTCCTGTTAGCGATGAGTGACACCATTCTACCAAGCATGCGATCATCTTGAGAACCTAGGAGCTACTCCTTACTCCTTTGAATTAAGCAGTAACCAAATTCAGTTTATTTAGAATGTAGAAAGTACTTAGGAGATTAAATTTGGAAAATATACTGCCTCAGAGATCACTGTGCACATTAACATAGAAGTGCTTGCATTTTTCAAATTTATTTGGTAAAAGAACCTCCCCTTTTGTTTCTCATTTATACCTATTAACATTCAGTGGAACATTAATTGGAAAAGCTGTTGGTTACAGCAGATGATACTATTCTTTATTTTGCTGGGCTTCTTTAACAACTGAAATATATTTTTTTTAATAACAGTGATAAGCTAGTTATTTGAAAGCTTGAAATAGTTCTAGAACATACAGAACTATAACTCTTTGAGGATGAATGTGAGTAAAATGTGAGTAAAATGTGAGTTTTGTGGGGCAAAGTTTGCATACTTAAGTGATCACAGGAGTATGACATAGTATAATATTATATAGCAGTTAGAAGTCAGATCTGTAAACTTAAATAAAATCAACTTTTGTAGTCCCATTTGTATACACAGGGTGCATGGAGGGGAATAAAAGGGTCTGTGCATTTTGATATGTGAGAGTGTATTGCCCATTTGACTCCTTTTGGTCTTATTCTTCATGTGGTCCTGTGTAAATAGTCTTTTTCTATATGTGTTTTCCCTTTTCTTTAGTTCTTATTCATTTCTTAATCTTGAGTGGTTTGATTTTGTGCTTAATAGTTCAACAAGTTGATGGTTTTTGGTGAATGGTTAATTCCAGTGGATTTATTTTTGCCCTCAGGTTTCAAGTTTTCTCCCTGTTAACTTGGTAATGTAGTATCAGTGAAAAAATTTGGAAATTTATGACTATGGATGAGTGGAAGGAATATACACAGAGTTCTACTGCCCATTGTGCTAGGGCACTTTCTCTGACAGTGTTTTGTTTTTGATGCCATTTTTTATTAAGATCATCTGAATAGGTTGGTGTGCTTGGGCAGAATATGTTTTCATATTGTTTATATTTTCTCTTTTATTGCCCAGCATTATATTGTGAACATTTCCCTATATCATCAAAAACTTACTAACTATAGTAGTCTGCTGTTCTTTTGAACTTGGAGCACATTCAGAGCATTCTGAACTATAACTTTTTGAGGGCACACTATTTTAGAAATTTATTTTAAAGTATGTGATTGGAAGTTGTTTCTTTATATGCTCATTTCATAGTTAAGTTAGATGTCTCGGGGACATTTTTTTAAGTTTTCCTTTTCACTTTTTTTTAAAGTACTAACATTTGTGCATGAGTGTTTGTTCATATGTTGAATTATTGCCTTGTAGTTTGTCCCTGGAAGTGTAAATATTTTAGCTCATAGGGCTTAAAAAATTTTAAGACCCTTCATACAACTCTTTAGAAAGGTGTTTGGTAAATGTACCAGTTTATACTTACTAGCATTAGACAATCTTTGTCTTTTTAATATATCTTTGTGAGCAGTGAGTATTATAGTTGAAAATAAGTTTCCAATTCAGCTGGCAAAGAGAAGAATCTTCTGTTTTAGAAAATATATATCTACTCTGAATGTTTGCTTTAATAAATTTCTTCAGGTGGTTTTAAGAGTTTCACATTATTTTCGATTTCCTTTTATGTTTCTTTCTTTCTTTCTTTCTTTTTTAACTGTTTCTGGTTTCTAGATGAAAGCGATTAATAATGATTGCATCAGGTGTGTGTCTCATAAGAGAACATAGGATTTTTATAGAGAAGATGGTGGAAAACCTGAGGTTAGCCATGTTGTAATGTTGTGTTTCTTAGGCCTTAGCACCTTCATTCAAGACCTCGGTGAAAGCAAATGGATTCACACTCATTATTTTAAATTTTAGGGATACTTGCTAAATATACCTTCAGAAGAATGTTTGAGATCTGGGAAGATAACAGTAGGACACAGTTTCTTGAATCTTGACAGTTTTCCCTAAATACAGAGTAACTAGCATGGCAAAACCAAAAATTGATAGGCACTTTCTCTAAAACAGTATCACCACAAACTCTGACTTGAGAACAGGAGAACCCCAAGCTAGCTAACAAAAAGTCCCTGCAAAGTGTGGCAAGAAAGGTTGAGAACAGCAGCTAAAATGAAGAGATGTTTGTGAGTTCTCCGGATAGCAGAGGCCCGCAGTGAATTCTGTGGGGTTA